AACAGATGGAGAGGAAAGGAAAGGTCGTCAAGGCTACCTCCAAGTACACTGGACGAAAGCGACGAGTGGCGTTTTAACCCACGCCATCACCACTTGTCTACGAATAATGCATTGCACGGCGTTGGTGGGCTGAAAATGGTTGGATTTCAAAAGCATATTATCTATCGTGTTACCTTCTCTCTAGAAACCGATGCACCCTTGTCTGTGTGTCGAAGACTTCGCTGTACATACAAGTTATATACCAATACCCTGCGGAGGATAGTGGTTGGGCTTTTTCTTTGTCTTTTAAATTAAGAACGACTTTACAAAACTCAAGCCAATTCCCACGCGAGGTCATACATGAAGACACTGATAATAAGAGGAGCATCAAAGTGGAAGTGCCATTAGCACATAACGTATTTGTTTGCTTACTCAAATCGAACTGATCTTCCAGGAGACATTGACTAATTGTTGTCAATCTGAGAGCTACAGAAAGGCATCGCTGAGCCAATTGGAAACAGAAACCTAATGCATACGCAAATCGCAAATCGCCCCTCACATACTTATGAAGACATCGGCACAAGAGAAATGTCAAAACGGTTTCCACCCCAGGCCTAGTCCTATCCCTTCATTGGTACCCCCTCTGGCACTGGTGTCTCACGGCATGACAAGAAGGAGGGGTATCTCCATGGTGGGGCTAGCAGTCGCCGTGAAGCTTCCCGGCATCGGCTGGCCGCTGGTTAGGAAAATAGATGTGTTGCATTTATTACCTCTTCAAATACCTTTCTCGCGTGTAATTATTTTCTTTTCCTCGATTTCTCTCTCCGATCTCATACTGTTTGCTCAACAAGAGATATTCTTCGCCACCCATATATTACCGTTTAAATGGCGTCAGCAGTAGTAACGGATGGCCTCTTCATCAACGGCCGCATCTTTACCAAAACCCATGGCGTTGGCCTAGAGGAACAACCCGTCTTTGCTGAGAGCATGCTTGTCAGGGACGGCGTTATTCAAGATATTGGCACCACGGCAGAGCTCCAACTCAAGAATGGGCAAGACAAAAAACTACATGTCCAGGATTTGGGAGGGAAAACAGTCCTTCCAGGCTTCATCGATAGCCACATGCATCTGCTACTTCTCGGCATGTCTCTCAAGAAGCTCGTCCTGGACAATTGCAAGTCTCTTGAGGAAATTAGAGAAACCATTCGAACCTATGCAAAAGAACACCCCGATGTGCCTAGAATCCTCGCTCAGGGCTGGATGTTTGACTTGACCCCGGACGGCGTTAATCCGTCGATGCTCGATGACCTTGATCCCCGGCCGATATTCATTGACAGCATGGATTTCCATGCAGTGTGGTGCAACTCCGCTGCCATCGCCGATATTGGTCTTGACGATATGCCAGATCCCGTAGGTGGAAAGATCGAACGCGATGAGCACGGGAAACCGACCGGCCTTCTTAGCGAAGCTGCCGCGATAGGCATCGCCTGGCCATTTCTGGCCCAAACCCTGTCAAAGGAAGAGCGTTTTCAAACAATTATCTCCGCATTAGACGTGTACAATTGTTCTGGTTACACTGGAATCGTCGAAATGGCGATGGACCAGGTAGTGTGGGACGCCTTGGTAGATCTGAGAGCTAAGCGGCCTGACCTCGCAATGCGGATAACGGCATATTGGCTAGTCATGCCAGACTCGGAGGAAGGCTGCATCAAACAAGTAGATCACGTTATCAAGCTGCAGCAACAGTTCAACAAAGACAACTCGCCGGACCTAAGGATTGCAGGTATCAAGATTATTTGCGACGGAACCATCGACGCTTGCACGGCATATGTATCGAAGCCATACAACACTACAGGTAACACGGGCTTTCCACTATGGACAAAGCCACTGCTCGAGGTCGTGACGAAGCGCGCCGTTGCGGGCGGCCTACAGATCGCCTTCCATGCAATCGGAGACGCAGCTATCCGAATGGCAGTCGATTCAATCGAGGCACATGCTCCGCCCAGTAGCAGACAGCGCATCGAACACCTCGAGCTATCCGCTCCAGAGGATGCAAAAAGACTCGGCAGCCTAGGTATCACAGCATCTGTCCAGCCTGTGCATTGCGATCCAGCCGTACTCCGAGATTTCCCCCGGATTCTTGGCCCGGAGCGATGCAAGCGGGCCTTTGCATACCGTGAGTTTGCAGACCACGGAGCTCTCCTCGCCCTGGGGAGCGACAGTCCCACGGCGCCGTACAACCCGCTTCACAATCTCTATACCGCTACAACGCGCCGATCAGCAAGGGAACCTGAGTCTACCAGCACGGTCGACCCACACTTTCGCCTTGGTTTCTGCGAGGCCATCTCCGCCTATACGCTTGGAGCGGCAAAGAGCGTCTTCGCCGAGGATCGAGTTGGGAGCTTGAACGTGGGCAAGGCTGCAGATTTCGTGGTAGTTGACATGGAATGGAACGCCCAGACATTGCTTCAGGCTGAGGTGAAGGAGACTTGGTTTGCCGGAAGAAGAGTTTGGAGTAAGTAGACGTTGTCGTCGTCTGTATCAGGCGCTTGCCTATAGGACAGCATTGTTTCAGTAGTGACAAACTGGTGTTGGGGTGCGAGCATGCAAAGGGTAAAGCGAAACAGGAGTTGCGAGCTGCGAATCGGAGGATAAATGACATCATGCGAAACCCTTGAAGCAGGTGGTCGTGAACTCTCAAGCATATCAAGTTGAACGAAGTCATCATAATGCAACCTTGTACAGACCAGACTGACACGGAATCCTCGCCTTCAACTACCTAGTCAGATCTTCTTCGTATCATGCAGAGCCGTCCGCTTAAATCCCTCCTCCTCTCAATCAGATGCATTCATTCCCTCATTCAGTCTCTGTCTTCTCTGCCCCTATCCGGACCTTTCGGGGCGATATTGATCAACGGCGGTGAATGATATGCCACGGTTTTGACATTGATACGATCGCTGGCTGACTTCATAATGGGGAGCGGGGTGAGGAGGGCATATGTAAAATGCGGCGCATCTTCAAGTCATGATTAAATGAGCTCCATTCTTGATTCAACTCCTGATGTCCTAGCTAAACATACCTCAATAGAGGAATTGGTGGTTGTCTCTTAAAATAAAAAACCACGGGAATATTTTGAGGTCCCTCGCCACGCCCAGAAAACCTTGTTGGCGACTGCTAGTCGCTCTTTGCTCAGCCCATGAATCGATGCCGTAAACAAGGCCCAACTTCTATTGCAAAAAAAAAGTTCATAGATCGTTTAACTGAGGAGCACAAGAATGACGCTGTCGCCACGCAGGAACCTATTCAAACTGGTTAGTATCATTCGCCTTCAGGAACAACGACCCGTACGCACATCTTGCTCACGAATCGATCTTTGTTGACAGGTCGGCCTGGCTTTCCATTGGCATTTCGGGGAGTCTCCGTCCACATTTCTTTCTAGAGCTGGCTGTTAGTAGACAGTTTGCTGGCGTCGCACATGACTTCTATGTCGTTTTTGAAGAATCTGGCGCGCCATCAAATCCGAGATAAGAAGTCGCCATCTCTCGGATTTGATGGCGCGCCAGATTCTTCAAAAACGACACAGAAGTCATGGTTGGATACTTACGACGTTCTCCAATACCCTGGAACAAAGTCAGTACAGGTTGGTATATGAGTTGCTACAAGAAGTTGGGTAGATGGGGAGAGAGCGATAAATGAAAGGTTGCGCTGCTTACATGTTACAGTGACGATCAAAGGCCTTCACACGAGCAAGGCTGTAAAACACCAGAGTCAGTGATGAATTGAAATGGTCCTTTCGGAGCAGGCAACATACAGCTTGCGGTTTGAACGGATGCTGATGAGGACTTGTGAGTGCGTGCGGACGGCTGTCTGGAGGATTGAGAGGGGACCGTTGCTGAACTCCCATTGTTCCTGAGTGCTGTGTCAGTTGACCTAGTCCATTGATGAGATCAAATGAGAGCTTCTTACTAGCTGCGCAATCTCATATTCTCTGCATACGAACGACGGTTAGTCTCATGCGCTTGTGCTCATCAATGTTCGGTGAGAGTTGGGTGTGACATACGTGCACTCATTGCGAGGCTTCTGGAGGAGCTCTCTGGAGAAGTGTCAGTGGCTTGAACTAGCAAGGGTCTAGGGAGGATTTTCGTACTGAATGTTAGCGTCGGCCATTTTTGAGGATTGTATGGCGACGTCTCGATGCAATCAAATATGCAGACGCGATGCGATCTGCCTGGATTCTTCTGAAGCTTTGGTGGGTCGCACCGTGAGAAGCCTTTGCGCACGTGATACACTTGAACGGAGCAATCAAAGCCGGTGAGCTGATTTTCCGCTCTCCGATGACCCACCCGTTTTGGGAGAGCTTGAAACAGCAGCTACTTCACCCAAGCAGAGCATAGCTTCAAATTCCATGACTGCTTGAAGAGAAAGCTTATGAATTGGACAGTCACGTTTTTAACGGGATATTCACGTCTCTGTCCATATGCAAGGATTATAATATTCAACTTCTTTTCCTCAGTCGTAGTAATATTGCCATTGTACTCATTTGGTCCGAAGAAGCTCAACAGATGCGCTAGCTTTGCAAGAAGCGCGACGAGGAAAGCTCAGGATCGAATTAGCCATGATCAATAAATTCAAGGCAGTCTTATTTCTCAGTCGGTTATGAAGCTTCAGGAAGTTTCAGAAATTGGTATAGAAATTTATCTAGCTATGGCGTTGTCATTGTCCGGAACGAATACTGCTCCATATGGTCTCATCTTAGGTATTGGACGGATAATTGGATTCCTTGCTTGGAAGTCCATTTACTCGTTCGGCCCTCTCTGATGCATGTCGAATTAAGTAGTCAGAACAACCACTGCTCTATGCAAAGATAGGAAACAATAATGGGAACGCCAAGGAGGGCCAAGGATGGACCGCTCTTGATGCCCCGTGTCACCCCTACCAATGTGATTACGATGTGGGCGCAGCTAATGCTAGTGTAGAGGGTTCATGATGACAGCTTGCGGCCTGCGTCTGGCACAAAAGGAGCCCTTATAGCTTAGTGGTAGAGCGTTGCACTTGTATCCCTACAGGATATGCAAAGGTCGGCGGTTCAATTCCGCTTGGGGGCACTTCTTTTTTTTGACATCATTGTCCTGTAAGCTTTTTTTTTTGTTCTTGTTGTTGAGCAAGCTCTCGGTGACAAAGAGGTCAGTCAGAGTGGAGCTTTCATCAAAACAAGTGGTGAGTTGGGACGTGACGCGTTCGCATATGTGACCCCGAGTGTATGCAGCCAGGGTACTATTGAAGTCGATGAATTGGTGGAAGCCCGATTTAAAATAGCAACTCTATGTTTCATTAATTGCTTCCAAATGACTGCACTTATAAATGTTATTTGTAGCTGAAGTCACTATCGAAGAATGGCATCTGGCATCAAATCAGAGACGCGATTTGGGTCAACTCGATTGAGTGTGCTACAACTAGTAAAAGCTTCTCAAGGTTAAAAATATATAATGGAAAAGTGTGCCATCTAGGGGTTGCTAAGCGAAGTAATCTCACTCGACGCTGAGGCTTTCCCTCCACCTTATCACCAAGGTTCGTAATAACTCCTCCATGTAAATTCAGAACTGTGTATCAACACACACGTACAAACAAAGTGTTTCGCATAAGATCACATAAAAGGATTTAATCCTACAGAGGTAGATTGAGACAAACAAAATAAAAGAGAAAACAAAAAATGGCCAAAGCTTCATGAAAGTGATAGCCAAGTCCAGATGGCCAGGTCATCATCACCACATCTCTGGGGTAGGTTGCAACAATACCCTAGAGAGCGCTCAAGTTCACCAGCACGCCAAAACGGATGAGATACTGAATACATATACAAAATTATGGAAGCCGCCATCCAACGATCTGATTGGCTTCATGGTCTAGTGGTATGATTCGTGCTTTGGGTACTCAACTTCATTGCACGAGGTCCCGGGTTCAATCCCCGGTGGAGCCCAAACATTTAATTTTTTGTCTGTTTCCCGTATGACACATTCTGCTCTGATTCAAGCTCTGGTAGAAAAGGTTCTTGCGAGACATTATCTTTTTTTATTTAGCAAAAAGGCATCTCCCTTTTGAAACGCACTTAATTAATCATAGATCCCTTTTCGTGCCTATTATTTCTTCTAGGCCGTTCCTTCTGGCGCAATCTTTGCCGGACGTGGTTTACTTATATTTCAAGCTGTGCCAGTCAGTATCTTTCCATTACCTCTTGGTAGCCGTACCCCACTATGGTATAATGCGGCATCGACAAGTTTATTTTCCTTTGAGCCATACTTATTTGCTACTTGTAGTCTGCGGTGAAATGTTAATACATTTAGAACTCAGTCATCTCCGACGGAGCACAATTACATCAAAAGTTACACAAAGACAGCGTTTGACAACCTGAAGCGGGGCCCAGCTTCAGACGATGGTTTATAGTAATGATCTATGCATATGGAATATTTCTGTGTATATACATTGTTTGATTCTATGTTCCGATCGCTGAGGGGAGAATAAAGATTTCGTGTCTTGAATCATAACCTGCTTGATACATGACGTGAGTGTTTCGTACTTGAAGCGTCTTACCATAGCAAACTGGACTCATTATTGCGTGAACGCCTTCACTGCCTCAACAATAATATCAGCGGTTTCCTCTGGCTTGCTCAGCATGGGTGAGTGGCTGGTGTCGATTTCTCGCTGAGTCACATCTCCTCCAGCAGCCTGAGCATCCTTCACAAACATTTTCTGAACCTCAGCTGGCAGAGCCTTGTCGTCTTTTGTTACGAGGTACCAAACTGGAACTTCCTTCCAGCCATCATATGTGATGTCGGCACCAGTTGTGAAGGCCTTCATCGAATGGTTTCGCAATTTGCTGACCCAGAGTTTACCCTCATCTTCTGGAAGATCATGGTAAAACAGCTCCCTAGTATCTACCAGGAGGGGGGCAAAACCGGTCTCTGTATCTTCCTTCCAGAATGGCGGAGGCTTGCCGCCCGCGCCATCCAGAAAAGTAATGCCCCTGACCATGAAGCCAGTTGCAATCATGAACAAGCCAATAACATGGCCAGTTCCGCTTGTGTTTGAGGAAGGGACAGAACCCTCTGGCTTGGTCAAACCCTTGACCGCACTACTGCCGACGACGCCGCCGTAAGAGTGAAAGACAACAACGACATCGCGCCCCTGAGAAGTTTCGGCGATAATTGCATCACGAGTAGCGTTGACGTCGTCCTCGAGAGTCGCCTCGGGGTTCGACTGTGTAGTTGGAAGATCTACAGCCACGCTCTTCAGGCCATGTTTCTCAAGCACTGAAATGAGTTTATCCCAAGTGTCAGAGCCATGCCATGCCCCAGGGATCATAACGAGAGAGGGATTGTGAGACATTGTTGTTGTGAGAGATGAACTTAAGAGATGATATATTTGTTGTTGTTATAAGTGAAGGATGTGAAAGAGGAGAGGAAGTATGTACTATGGATACTGACAGACTTTGATGAGGGGAAAGGCTGGCAATAAATAGTCGGGATAATCCATGTATAAAGTTATTTTTTGCCATCTATTTCTTACTTTATTCCTTCTCAAAACAATGCATACTACCTATTTACCGGGAGTTTTTCGCATCATCATCAAGCTAGAACGTCACAAGAGAGCCTTGTTTGACAATGCTCGTTAAAAAGACCCAAAGCGGTCTAGTCCAGGCCAATCCAGGTCAATCCGTGTCCACCCGGCGAGGCCGTGTTGTTAGTGTTTATGCTGTGAGACAAGACAAAAAATCGCTAAAGCCTGTCACTATTACCGTTCCATCTCTTCCATCTCATCGAACATCGGCCTGTTTATCTACTTGGCGGCCGCAGCTTTGAAACAGGTATACTACTGTGCATGCAGGATCGTTCTAGTACCATCAATGGAACTAGCAAAGCCGACAAGGGAAAAGAGAGCCAAGCAGCCCCATACTAGGAGCCAAACCGGTTGCAGAACGTGCAGGTCGCGCCGTGTCAAGTGTGACGGAGATCGACCCTCGTGGTGAGCCTGCTTGCCCTTTTATCGTTTCTTCGCAATCGACATGCGAAATGGTTCGATAGTTTGTATTGGCTAATTCCAGAAATAGTTCGAGGTGCATCAAAGCCGGCAGATTCTGCGATTTCGGCATTCCGAATCTTCCGCTTCGGGACCGCAGAGCACTGCCGCTTCCCGGCCAGCAAGCCTGGTTCGTGCACTCAAACCAACTGCAGCCAATATTCTGGCATACACCATTGGAATCAAATTCCATTGACCCCTTCGAATCTCTCGAAGTCAAGTTGCCGTTCAAGTCTAAAGAACTACTTCGCTATTGTTCGTGCACACCTCACTCAGCTAGCTGGCCAGCATCGCAGCTTAGGTACTTTGCTGACGACTTACTATGCAGTTCACCATTCACTAGACGCACTCGAACCGTGTCCACAATGGAAAGATATAGATATGTAGGCAAACACCAGCCCACTCTCTCTAACGCTTTGCTGAATGAATATGGAAACATGGAAATGCAGCCTGCCATTTCTATACCAGAACCCTGACGCTCTCCGGAATACCCTGCTCGTCGCTGGTCCTCACTATGCTTGGATAGTCGGAGATATGCAAGCCTTTGAGACCACATTTTTATATCACAAGATTGAGACTATCCGGTTACTGAACGAATGGCTTGACAGACCGCAACCGGGCGGGTTGGCAACTGTGATGACACAGATAACCACCTTGTGCCTTGCGGAGGTATGCACTCCCCCTTTTTTCTTTTTCTTGTGTTTTCGCTGTCGTTCGATCTTGGCGAAATCTATCGTTGAAAAATAACATGTAAATCATTGAGATCGCACATGCTAACTTTTTTTGGTGTCCTTCAGTGTGCATTTGGGAACATGGCTGCTGCTGAGACGCATCTCGACGGCCTGATGACAGTGATAGACTTGCATCGTCCCTTAAATTCTGCCATCGATGTAGCTACCGAACCTGGCGAAGACCTTGCTTATCGGTATCTTATAATGTAAGTAACTAATTGAACAGATCATTTAACTGGCTAATGTGAGACGGCAGAATGTGCCACCTTCTGTACGGCATCAAGAGTCGAATACATAGTAGCAAGATTCTTCGCTCAATATTTCGACGCCATCGAGTTGCAAACTTTATGGAGTTAGTCTCGTTACTTCATGACTGGCACGATCAGGATATTGGCTGCTTAGAACAGCGACTCAAAGCAGTAGCGCTGACCCCATTCTTCTTTGGTGCCCTCCCTCAAGGCGCCAGAATTCATGCCGTTGACGGATTTACCATTATAAAATGCTTGAGGGTAGTTACTCAATCAACTTGCCCACCACACCAAAAGCATGTAAGAAGTGATCCAAGTTGGGTCTGGGCGGAAGGTTCAGCGTCAAGGCTAGACTTGGCGATTGTTGACTCGCACGTTGAATCTTTATTTGGTCCCGATAAATTGGATCCCAAAAGCGACTCATTAGGCCAACGGCTCATGACTTCTTGGACTGGAATTGCAATCACCGCCGGGCTCTATTTGCACTGTATCCTGGACCTTTGGAATGCCGGAGAGCCCATTGACCATCGTCTGTTTCGACGGTTGATGACAATGCTTATGCACGATCTGGAGCAATCTGTTGATGACGAAGTGAAGGATGAGTATTCATCTAACTTGTGGTTCTGGAAGGTCTTTATTGGAGCTTGCAGTTTGGAATGGCACCAAATGTGTGCGTACGACCCTGCTGTGCAAACTCTCAGCGCTTGCTTTGACGCCTTCATCAAGACCTGGAGCCAGATTTCGAAGGTATCTCGGTGGGTAGAGGCCGAACGGAGGCTGTTGAAGATCGCCTGGCCCACAACGCCAGCCCAAGACATGGCAGAAAGAGTGTGGCATAGAGTAATAAAACAGGCTAGAAATTGCGATTACCATACAGGGTGACGAACAGGAGCGCCCATTCACTGTACGATAAGACGAAAACTTAAGAGACAAATCAGTTGGCCCAGGTGGGTGGCCGCTTTTCCATCTCCACTCAATATCTCAACTTCGGCTCGGTTCTTCATATTATTCCCCCGCGGCCCCCCCCTTCAGCCCACATCGGCCCGGCTCACCACCCTCATCAGTTTACTTGAGGACTTGGGCTAAGAGGTTGGTGTTTTGGAAACCACGGAAACATCATTCAGATAATTATCCAATCGGTTCCTGGAGGCTATGGAGTCATGTATGGAGTTCAAGGCAGAATGTGCACAGTAACTGGCAATCCGGGGGCTCCCCGGAACACCAATCTTCAAGACAACCGAAAGGCTTTTTCAAGGAAATCTTCCACAAAGAGGTCTTCCACATGTCAAATAAATAGAATATTGCTGGCCCTGTTTGAAGAAGGCTTCTTATTTATGCAGTCTGAGCTTTGCAATTGTCGTGAATGACTTTTTACTTCAAGGGATGTCACTCATCACTTACCGTAGTGCAAAAACTTGGAGATGAATAACCTAGGTAGAGCCTTATCCTCTTAATCAAATCGTAATTGGTGGCAAACCTTGCTTCGTGAAGCTGACCCTGGCCCTTCTTGTCTCATCGTAAGACTCAGCCGCCCATCTGCCGGGTCCACGTACCATTTGTTTTTAAAGGACAGATTTGTGTTCACATATGCCCAAAGTACACATTTGTATCATTGATGTTATCTCTATTACAGTTAAATAAAATTACTAAGAAGGAATGGTTCATTCAAAACGCTGCAGAATCACAAATTACCCCTTTTTAGCGCATCTCGACCCCTCCAGTTCTAAAGTCGTCAATCGTACGTAACAGCCGTAAGTCGTAAATCATACTAGTAGAGAACCTCATTTCTCAACACCATAATATCCCTTTACAGTTACTGCTACTACTGGGGACCTTTCTGCGTTGTTGATGGTCACATACACCTCTCCCTGTCTCATCGAGTGAGACGATCCACAGTGGCTTGGCTTTCAGACCGAGTTCTCTCC